TTAAGAGTACGTAACAGTGGTATTTGTTGTCTCCGTCTTACCAGTGCGTAATATAGCAAATGTACGGTCAGCAGAACACTTGTAGCTCCTTTAGTTTAAATATTACAGTAAATCGACCTATTATGAAACTTGACGGTAAGAACATTATCTGTGTTTKTACGTTGGTTTTTTACGATAATTCAATTTTTAAGTGAGTTATGAGCATTATTAATGTACTGTATATTATATGCTCATAACTCACTTAAAAATTGAATTATCGTAAAAAACCAACGTGCAAACACAGATAATGTTCTTACCGTCAAGTTTCATAATAGGTCGATTCACTGTAATTTTTAAACTAAAGGAKCTACAAGTGTTCTGATGAGCGTACAGTTGCTATATTACGCACTGGTAAGACGGAGACAACAAATTCCACTGTTACGTACTCTTAACACGCGGGATGCGGCACCACGTCGAGCACATGCGAATTTATTTTTGAACGACAGCCGGGCGCCGTCGATCAATATAACGGCAACGGACTTAGCGCACGCGCTCCATATCCCATACTACAGTCCTGCAACTGCTGTAGCACCACAGCCAATATACGGGTAGGTAACGTCCTGCAGGTGTGGCGTAGGTGTTACACATTAATAATTGCACGGATAATTGTAACACATTTTTCGTGATATCATTAGGTTATTATTAATAATAATAATGTTATTATATTGTTGTGAGTTGTACACGTGAATTGCGATTTCGTTAATAATATTACAATAATAGTAATATAGTATAGTAGTTACCAACGACTGCTACAGCAGCGATCGAGGAGCCGGTGTTGCGTTTCGGCGAAATCTCGCGGCAATGAACGCCGTCGTCGTCGTCGGAATAATAAAAATGCGGAGAGATGAAACGAATACCAAAATCTGAACACCGTGCACACGTTATATAATAATAATAATGTATCGATATGGTACGATATTAAGTAATGATTATTGTTGTTGTAATTGTTATTATCATGAGCAAAACCGATTGACGGGAAAACGGCCGTGAACCGTACGCGGTCGCGCGCACTGCGATGAATGGCAGTTGAGCTCCTATGCCTCCGTTTATATATACCTACCGGTGCCGCCATGGCCTCTACGACACCGGACACAGTCGCGCGATACATCTGCTTCTCCTGCGTCTATATTTACATGCGCGACGCGCACACAATATTTGTATATTATTTTAATAATATTATATATTTGTATTATACAGAGCGATTCTTCGATAAGCAATTAATGGTCATTGCTCATTATACTTCCGACTATAGGTAAATTTATCGGTTTTTAAAAACTATTTTTTCGCAATCCATCCGTAATGGCGGATTCTAAATGGACAAAAAATCTTTTTATCATTTTTATCGTTTCCCCGTCAATCCGATGACATAACTTTTTTAAGTTATCACATAGCTGTACATGTTTAATTTCATACTCCGAAGTAGTATATTTTTCTGAGAATTTTCATAGATAAATAAAAATATCAAACATTAGTAGATTATGTATTACGAATAATTTTTCATAGGTACACATAATTATTCAACGAGTTGAGCGGAGTGGTRAAATTCTGGTGCACYGTTTATTATATAATTTTCGCTTCAATAAACTTTAAAACATAATTTTTAACTTAAAAATGATAAAGATAAAGAATGGTACGAAATAAATTTTTTTTGTCAATAATGTTTTGTAGTAAATTTGAATTTAAATTTAAATTTAATTTAAATCGTGCATAAAAATATGTTTTTTCGAAAACAAGTAAAATGTATCGACGTTTAATGATTAAAGAATTACCACGTATATATGCTAGCCCTGATAACCAAGCACACTAGCACACTAACACGTTTACCACGTACATTAAAAATACTGATTCTGTTTACTATACAATATAAATTCCGACCCATCAAATGCATAGTGATTAGTGTGTATACTATATTATAAGTATGCATATACACTATAAMTATACACATACGTCTATGTCGATTTCAATCCACTGGTACGATTAATAAATATCATACCACACGCCACGGCTCCCACGTGTTTTTTAATCGGACGTGCTGTTTAGTGTTTTATCGTAAAAACCAGCCCAATCGTATTCTTTGTTGACAGACTTTCCGTCTCTCTCAATCTCCTAATTTCTCACTCACGCCACAGACCAACAGCTGTTGCTTATACTATATAGCGTGAGTATAGGCACTGTCTAACTCACGYGGAGTACGTAAAAGATGGTTTTCAACGTTTCCGTAATTGTATTGCATACGTGTACAACATCCATTAACGAAGAGATCCGAACACAAGAGTCAAAATTTAATATATTGTAGGTACTCCACTGCAAAAATGGGAATTGTATAGTAGGCATAGCATATTATAGGGGTATTATAAACTATAGTCACTTGAGTTCAATGAGTTCAACACATTACACCTAGAATCCAATAATAATATTATATTCGTACATCCAAATATATACTATATACTATACCTACCTATTACGCATATTTGAACGTGAGAGTGTAAGACACTCATTATTTCAAAAAACCAAACTCTTAACGTTCTCGTAAATATTTTTTTTACATAATTTGAAAAATAACATTTTACTAAAAAAATATATTTTTTATCTTAATAATTTATCAAATTTATGACTTATCAAATATCGTTTAATAAAAAATGCACAACCTTCATTTTTAATTTCTTATTTCAAATCTGAATATTTTTTTAAGTAGATACTTCGATGTATAAAAAGTCTGATTGGAGTGGTATGGAAACCCTATAAAAAGGGGTTACTCCGCTCATCTAAAATTGAAATACTTCTAAGGTATAATGAATAAACTTATCCATAATTTGATTTTTAGTCATCAAAACACTCAAAAAATATATTCTGCATTGGAATATGAAATTAAAAATGTAGGCTTAAAWYGAAAACGAAAAAAAAAGTAAGAACAATTTTTATTACAATTTAAAATCGTGTAACAAAATATTTTTAAAAACATTAATATTCTGTATTAATATCTGAAATAATTAGTGTCTTAAGTTGAATGAATCACCCTGTATATACATAATATATATTTACAAGTCAATTCTTTTTACAATGCTGGCACCAACTACATCATAATATATTGTTAATTTAAAAATGTTCTTGTTGATAAAATATGTAAGTTACA